GCTGCCCTGGGCAAAACACACTAGTGATAGTTTTGTTCGAAAGATTGGCTGCACAAGTGCTGTCGGATGCCCTGTGAAAGCTGGACAGTCAAAAATGAAATGCTGCATGCGTGCAAAGTGGCCTTGCTTGAACAGATTGACAACAAACTTGGGGTAGCATAACTCCTGCACACTGTCCCATCAGACAGGATCTGAACGTCGGGTATTATTCTTGCACAACCTTGCAGGGCTTTCCTTTCGAACAACTGTAGATTGGTTTCAACGCTGCTGCTTAGTTTGGGGCAAAGCCTGCACAATGCAAGGAACATCCTTGGAACAAGACTGGTCTAAGCAGCTGGTATGTACAGTGTTTTTGAACATGTGCCCATATAAATTCTACCTGAAATGCGGCTATGTGATGGACCAGCACCTGATCAACACTTACATCCGGTCATGCTACAGTCAGAATATAGTCTCTTCTCCCATTTGATACCATTGATGAAAACCCAAATGCATGTTCAAGTTGTTTTTTGGTTGTTACGTTGTTCAACTGTAAGGTTGCTTCCCCTGATTCCAAAAAAAAAAGGCTGAAAAAAAGGTTTCTATGAGAAAAATCGAATGCTGGAACCCCTAGTTCCCATAGTCTGAGGAAAACTGGCGCCAACTGTTCAGAAAATTCTTCGAGATGCCAAGACTCTTGGATTCATGACCTTCTCGGCCAAGGGGCAAACTTGCAAGCAAATCTACAGGAATCTTTGACCCCTTCCGACTGACATTTGTCTCAGCACGATTTGGCCAACTGCCGGGCCAAATCGCCCATCGATGTCAGCGGGATGCATATACAACGCTTGGCCCATGGCAAAGGTCCAGGAGAAACCGTACGCCGTACATATGCAGCACATGCATATACAAAAATGCTCGCCTCACGGATACAAAATGTATGCATCAACTGGCTGGCCAGTTGAGTGCGGAAAAGCGAGTATGCAACATGTCAAACAGTCGGAAAGGTTGTAACCAGGTTTATCCAAAACAGCAAAAAGCAAGAACTGCAACAAAATGAGCAAAGAAACAAAGAAATCCACAACTAAATGAAGAAAGCACAACCGACCATAAACAAACAAATAAATAAATCCACAACTAAACGAAGAATAAAACAGAGCAGCTGCTAAGTTTGCATCTCAGCAGCTGATGATGCCCTCGGAGGCGCCCTGCGGGATCTCCTAATGGCGGGAGGGCGCGCGCGGGTCCGAAGGGCGGCCTTGACGCGTTGAAGTCTCCCTAGTGATATCTTTGATTCACATGGGCGTGGGTCAAACGTAGGTACCCAAAGTGGAACCCTAGTAAATGGACACAACTACTAGAACCTGTGGTTTGCTGGTGGTTTTATTTTGACCCATACCATACGGTTCATGCCTGAAATGGTGTTAACATGTACAGAAACAAAAATGAGGCCTCCCCGATATGCACGGGACAGGCACCTCTGCCGGGTATCCGGCCACCTCTGCAAACTCCTCATGTTGGGAATCCCTCTGTGCAAATAATCGTTGATTGGAGCGCGTGGATCGTGGGAGGAGGAGTTGTCAGAATGGAGGAGAGGTGGGGTCGTCCTACAGTTGAGAGACTATCTCGTCAAGGCTGGAAATGGAAGTGGAGCCAAGCGCACTATCAAATTGGGGGTGGGGGCTCTCCAGCATCAACCCATTTGGGGGCTTTCTTTCAGCGCTCCATCACCCAAGCCATCCGCAGCATATTTCGTTGAGCCCAGCGATCCAGCGATACTTTGCCAGAATTTGGTTTGGGACCTATTAGGTTCGCTTGGGCTCCCAGTCTGCTCAAACAAATCTCAGCCACATAGCTTTGCGGCACTAGCTATCAGGCTTCCTCAGAAAAGAAGAATAGGCAGAAGAAAAAAAATGAGAAACGACACACGTTGTTCACCACATTCACCCAGCTCCTTCCAAGGGCCGTGGTATTTTTTGCCCGTTTTCATGTCGTCCCAGGCGCAAGCTTCTTGGTCTGCTCCCAGCGCATGTCGCAGGTGCCGGACGTCTCTGCGCTGCTCCAGTTGAAGCTGGCCTCTGGGATGTTTTGAGGCTGCGCTTTTCAGGCGTGTGAAAAGTCAAACCAGCATGAGACCGCTTCTTTTTGGAGGGGGGCCACTCGCTTTGCCACACACACCACTTGGTGCTTACAGAGTGATTTATTCTAGCTTCAATCACCCACAACAAGAAAAGACAATCGAAAAAGTAAGGGGATCTTGAACAGGTGTGTTTTGGAGAAACCCAGAAAGTGAAGTCCTCACAACTTACCCTTCTCACACTGTGAAGGGGCTTAACACGGCCCGGAAAGGCACTGCCAGACTCCCCGGACCGCCTTCACTTTGAACTCCTTCTTGCCGAACCTCAGCGAGTCAAACTCGTGGCAAAGAGGGAATCCCTGCAAACCACCCACCCGAGCAACCAACGTATCGAAACAACCGATCAAGTAACATCTCGCCCAACACAGTCAACACGAAGCCAGCAGTTGAAAGGATCCAAAGGTCGCAACCAGCTACTAGTACCGCTGAAAGAATCAAGCCTCGTGAGAGTGCAACATGTCATTCCGATTGTCGGAGTGCCGTGTCATGCTCCATTTCGGGCATCAACTACAAAAGTCCCACCCAACCATTCTCAGCTTGAAGGAAAACAAAAACAAGGGCTTGTTTCAAAAATGGGGCAACCCTGACAAAGCTTGGTTTCCCCTTAAACCTAACCAAAAAGGGGGCTGTCCAAAGAAAAACGAAGACACACACCACAATCAGCAGTTCAAATTGAAACTTTCGCCGAAAAAACTCTGCCGGGCCGCATGCCCTCGTTCTGCACGTCCTGCACGCTGTGCACGCTCATGAGCACCTCGAAGGTCTCGAACCTGGCAACCGATCCCAGCGATCGAGCGAGGCTCCCTAACTTGCTGGTGCGATAGGTAGGGAATGAGGGAAACCCGGGGATTTCGTTGGAAAAAGCCATGGGGATGGGTGAAACGCGGTCATTCATTCCCTCATTCCCGAAGTGAAAGATGTGGGGTGGCGTGGGAAAACCTGAAGTTACTAAAAAGGTCAAGCATGGTTTCCCAAAACTTGTCATAGTTACCGACATGTCTATTGAAAAAGTGTGTCAAGCAGTGGCAGTTCAAATCACGGCGGTGAAAATCGGAAGGCCCTTTTTTGTGATGCCAACATGGGCCATGCCCTGACTTGGAAGCTTCCAGAAGGCCACTGCAGACAAAACTCTCCAAAGGAGTCCTAGCTTCCATGGAATCTCCTCAAGTAGAATAACCCCAAGTACCCAGATCATGTCCAAGACGGGAGGTTGGCATGCTGTCCAAACCTTTCCGGTATCCCGCCAGGCCAGAACGGAGGAGCATTCCATCCCCCAATCCCTATATCCCTACGCCAATCCCACTTCCCATGAAGCAAGCTGCCCACCGAACCAGACTGCTCACGCCTTCTTTCTTCGCAAAGCCCCAGCTTTCCCGAAGAAGCTCCGCCGGCCTACTGAAACGTTACACACCCTGGAACGAGGCAACCAGCCGCTTTCCTGCCGGTGAACTGTCTATTCTTCGACAGAATTCTTTGAGGCGTTGGTTTCTGCGGCTTGGGCGTCCATGGCACTTCCGCCCTTCCCAATTTATGTTGACCCTGGATACAACCCCTCATCTTTTTGTTGCGGCCGATCCTTCACTGGAAACACCTCCCAAATCCACCGATTCGGTTGATGTTTTTCTCCAGCCGAGGCTTCGGCTCGTCCCAGCCCCAGGCAAGCAGGCACTGCGCGAGGATCTTGAACCTGCGCAGACCCCCGACCCCGAAAACTCCCAGAGCGAAGCAGTTGGCAGCACTCATTCGGCACATTGGCAGATCATGCTCTTGAGCACTGACCAAAAGAACCTTCGAAATACCCGGAGGTTTCTTTCACCCCTTGGACAGCCAGCTCAAAAGCCTTCTGCGGCAGGGAAACAATATTCACCCTTGGGCACAAGCAGGTGCCTCTGTCTATGCTCGATTCATGTCCCGACCCAAACTTCCAACTTACCGACTGCTTGCCGGCAAGCTCCCAACCCCAAACCGACATGCGAAAGAAAAGGAAACCCAGCCATGGCAAAAGGGTTGGACCCTGTGGTGGACAGAAAAACGCAAGAAGCCATGCAACCACCAACCACCCTCAGAGGGTCTTCCAACCATAGCACATGTACAAGACCTGGATAATCAGTTTCTCCTTGAAGGGACCCTCTACTGTGGATGGACAAAATCCTGCCTGAAAGGAACAAAGATGATAGCCACCGAAGCAAAATGTCCCACCCTGAATCAGGCACAGCGTGCGAACTGCGGGCAAGAAATCGGCCGATGCCATCTTTTTTACGCCCGTAGGCCAATCTCCGATAATTACCACCCACGCCCCTCCCCCACCATCAACCGAATCGACCACAAGGGCAGGTATGGCACCTTGAGAAGCGTCCCCGCACAAGGACGCCCATTCCATGGGACCCTTTCCTTACAAGCTGTCTAAATCACACACACCCGATGCGCGCCTGCGGCAGTCGCATTTGCGAGAGGCACACCTGAGCTCGCTCGGACAGACCTTCCTCGAAACACCGCTTGGCAAAAAATCATGCACGGAATCCAAATGGCCACAGCCGTAGACCTCAGGTTCGTATGCCGAGGCATTCTCCTGACCTTTGGCAAGCAAGGCAGTCATGGAGGAAGGCATCAATTTGGATTGCAAATCCTTGATACTTGGAGCTTCCCCGTGCTTCTAGACATGGCCGGTCAAAACCCTGTACCGTGAACATCAAAATAGGTGGAAATCAAATGGATGTTCATCCACCCAATGGGATCGCCATATGCCCCATGGGCACATGATTGCTGGCTTGGGAGCCCTCCGAGGGCCGTGCATGGAGCTGATCATCTTGTAGGCAATGCCTGCCGCGTCCGCGGACGAAGGCAGCAGGCCACCGGACCCAGTTGCGGGGGCAAAAAGCGCGTCGTTCGAGATATCTGGGCGCTCTGCCCTTGCCAGCACTGAAGCAACTAACACTATCCTTGGCATACCCGCAGAATCCGTGTGGATGTCATGTACCCTTGGAAACATAGAAACAGCCTGTCAATTTTACGGACGAATCAAAATTGTCATGTTCCCATGCTTCAGGATTAGAACTGTTACCTGTATGTACCTGTGCCAAAGAAAACTCGATGTCAGACGTATCCGGGTCTATCTTTTTGTTTAGGGTACCCCTGGTTTGGTGGTTCAAAGGTGAACCAAGAGGAAACAACCACATTTTAGGGGTCCCCAAAACAAAGACACACCCATGTGTTCCCACTGTCCGTTTCGATCCGCTCCCCCGACGCCTAGCACGGCGCAAAGGGCCAAGATCTTCATGACTTGGCCCATGCCTTCCTGGGCTGCGGTGTTTCACTTCCCGTCAGGTCGTGGGTCCCCGAAGAATCCCTCTGTGGCTCAACAAACCGGAATTCCAAAATGGGTTGCCCTGGTAAGTGGAAACATGGAAACCAAAACCTGCGGTTTGCCCCTCCGATCGTTTAATTTTGAGCCACACCCAAATGTTTCGGAGAACCGGAATCCAGGAATGGCTCATAGGGAGCCTTCCATCATTCTCAAAAGAGAACCAGCGAGAGGGCTGGGAGTGGCTTGCTGATGCCTCGCTGCAAACTCAAGTTGAGTCCCCGGTTCATTCGCTCTAAGGATGGCTTTTCGGTTGTGTACTTTGCCCAAGCATTATGGAACATGCAAACTCCCACCTCCGTCAAAACACGTCAACGTCGGATGTTTAGAAGCCGCCCTGCGCAATGGAAACTGCTTGTTTTTTGCACAGGGGGCGGCCCAGCCGCCCCCAAATTTGCGCGCACGCGCTCCAGCAGCCATGAGGAATCGACTTCTCCATGGCGAACTGCGCTTGTGCCGGAACTGCACGGTCTCCTCGTCAGTGTTCCCCGAGCTGCCTTTTCCTGCGTCTGTTTGACCCCTATCTAAATTCCCTGGAGATGTCAATTGCTGCTCCACTTAGTGGAGCAAACATTTTCCACCAAACATTCACACAAGGCTGCGCTCCCAGCAATTAACATGGAACCTGACAGGGTGGTTTGGACCATTTTCCTTCTGAAGGGATTGGTTCCCTGGCAGGTTCCGGCTGTCAGTTGGTAGGGTAAAGGTGAAGCCAGAGACAAGCGCCCATCACACCTCGTCAGCGCCAGCCAGCGTGCCTCATGCAGGGCCGCCTTCGCCCGGCGCCGCAGCCGCCTTGGCCGCCGCGTCGCGCTCCATCTTTTCCTTGACCATCTCCATCATCGGCATCACCTGAAGGGGCTGCCATGCGAGTCACAATCAAAACCAAGCCAAGTATGAGACCAAGTATGAGACCCACCCAAACCAGAACAATCAGTCGTCAGAATTGAAGTGATGATTGAAATGTCGGAAGTGATTGTGGCTCATGTCAATTTTGGCTTCATCCGGAGGGCCCTACGCATCAATCGATTTTGGGAGTCCACCGGCAACGTAGATGGCACGTGTCCCGCCATTCCAGTTTAGTCATTCCCTTCAAAAACTCCCGCGCCCGGGATTTGCTGCTGTCACTGCTGAACCGCCCTACCAGATTCCCGGCCTCGGATGGCAGGTACTGCGCATCAAAGTGGCCGCCTTCGCCGCACATCTCCTCGAGCTCATCCAACGTGTTGTCCCCCAGGTCTTTGCGGTGCTTCTCGAACATGACCTGCGGGCTACGTTCAATGGAAGACCTGGAGCAGCCAATCAGGGTTCTTAGCTTCTTCGCGGCCCAGCATGAAAAACATGACGATGAGGCAAAACAAAAACGGGTCAACTTCCCGGCAAACACAACAAGTGCCATTGTCTCTACAAGTTGCATGGCAAACTCTGTCTTTGTGCTGGAAGACCTCAATTGTCAGGTTGTTTCCGATTCTGTTTGATAGCAGGAATCCGCACGCCCAACAGACAAACCCAAACTTTCATGTTTGGAGACTCACAAGAGCAACTTGGATGATGCCAGTCCTTTTGAAAAGCAAAGGGTGTTCGGTTCCTCGGGGAGTGCGGTCTGTTCAAACCCTCGCCGTAGAACATTACTCGCTTGGGCTCGACCACCCCAACGAACCTCTGGGATGTGCAAACAATATCCCGGACCCATTGTGAGGATTGAACGCAGCACCCCGCATGGTCGTCCCTACGGGTTCCATCCCACCAACCCCAAGTTTAGCTTTGAGAGTTCCCATTCAACGGAGAGGGCCAGTCCCGAACTGAACAAACATACAAAAAACAACCTGAACAAATCATTGGGGCCCCCAAAAAAAAGAGCTTGAAAACACAGACTCAACTTGGCTTTCTGAAAAAGAAAGTTGCAAAACTTAGGTGGTGGGGTCAGGCTTGGGCACGTAACATTGCGGCTCAAGGCCCTTCTCTGTAGTTGTATTGCATTCATTGCATTCGCCATAGAAAAGGGAGCGTGCGCCGGCAGGATTAGGGCCACCGAGACGGAGCGATACAAGGTCATATCGTTCGTGCGCTGCTCTGGTTTGGTCCTCAGTAAATACCGAGAATGAAGTGAGGCCGCCCGTGCGCCGGGCGGAGGCGGAGGGTGCAAAGGTGCGTCCGCCGGAGAGCGCTGGAACCCATGCGCCGATGGGACTTGGTCGGGGGCCGTGCGCCGGCGGGTTTTGGTCTACCGAGGCGGAGCGATAACGAGGCCAGCTCGTCCGTGCGCCTCTGGGATTTGTTCCAGAGATAGTACAGAGAATGAGGTGGGGCCGTGCGCCGGTGGGATTTGCTTTGGCGGACGCCGCAAGAGTGCATCCGATAGAGAGTGATGGGGGGCGTGCGCCTGCCCGAAATCGCGCTTTCAGCGTCAGACAACAGAAGGAAGAAGAAAGACCTGCCGCTGCACAAAAGAACTCTGAAAACCATCTCCCACCCCTGCGCGGAGAGACAGACATCTGCGAGACCTCTGCGAGACCTCTGCGAGACCTCTGCGAGACCTCTGCGAGACCTCTGCGAGACCTCTGCGAGACCTCTGCGAGACCTCTGCGAGACCTCTGCGAGACCTCTGCGAGACCTCTGCGAGATCTGCGCGAGACCTCTGCAAGACCTCTGCAAGACCTGGGTCTGTCGGATTTGCCGAGGTCTCGCGGAGGTCTTGCAATAGTCTCGCAGATGCCCCCTAGCGGGAAGGACGCAAACACGCTGCTCGCAAGCTTTGTGAAGCTCTTTCGTGTCGGAGCACCACCAGCGTCAGTCTGACAGAAGCGAGACAAAAAATCTGCCAGAAATCCAGAAAATACGCTGCGCAAAAGCTTTGTGAACACTCTCTCCCACAGCTGCGAGACCTCTGCGAGACCTCTGCGAGACCTCCGCGAGAGTGAGTTTCGATAGTCATGCAGAGGTCTCGCAGAGGTCGCGCAGAGGTCGCGCAGAGGTCGCGCAGAGGTCGCGCAGAACTCGCGCAGAACTCGCGCAGAACTCGCGCAGAACTCACGCAGAGGTCGCGCAGAGGTCGCGCAGAAGTCGCGCAGAGGTCGCGCAGAAGTTGCGCAGAGGTCGCGCAGAGGTCGCGCAGAGGTCGCGCAGAAGTCGCACAGAGGTCGCGCTGAACTCGCGCAGAGGTCGCGCAGAGGTCGCGCAGAGGTCGCGCAGAACTCGCGCAGAGGTCGCGCAGAGGTCGCGCAGAAGTCGCGCAGAACTCGCGCAGAGGTCGCGCAGAGGTCGCGCAGAGGTCGCGCAGAGGTCGCGCAGAGGTCGCGCAGAGGTCGCGCAGAACTCGCGCAGAGGTCGCGCAGAGGTCGTGCAGAACTCGCGCAGAGGTCGCGCAGAAGTCGCGCAGAGGTCGCGCAGAGGTCGCGTAGAGGTTGCGCAGAACTCGCGCAGAACTCGCGCAGAGGTCGCGCAGAGGTCGTGCAGAACTCGCGCAGAGGTCGCGCAGAAGTCGCGCAGAGGTCGCGCAGAGGTCGCGCAGAAGTCGCGCAGTCGAACTCGCCGAGGGTGCGCCGGTGAGACTTGGTCTGGCAAGAATGTGACGAGGGCACCGTGGAGGCCCTGCCACAAGCGAGTTCCCAGCATCGTTTGTGCCGGTGTGATTTACAGTTGCTTGGTTGTGGGGTTCCCTGGCTCTCCTTGTTTGAGGATACCCGTTTAAAGCCCAAAGAGTAACCAAAGTGGAAACCAAAAAAACAGGATCCGTCCGGAAACCCACCGATTTCAGAGTCAAAGGACACCTTTTCCCTTCGCCTCGATCAAGGCCTTGAGCACCGCACAGAGCCACTCGTTGGCCGGCCGGGCATCCGTCACCCCGCACCGGGCACGGATCGCCTCCATGGCCTTTAGGGGCATCATCTGCACCTCGCGGGTTGGTTTTGCCCTCTGGCCGTGGGTCAAAATCCAAATCGCAACCCCAGTGAACATCCCAATCCACACTGAAATAGGTTCAAAAATAGGTGGTGCACCTACCCCAAAATGGCACCATTGGTTTTGACCCACAACCCTGGTGCCGGAGAACCCAAAAAGAGGGGGTCCTAGTCCTGACCATGTTCCTGTAACGTGGAGCTGCGTGGTGGTTGGAAGGGTTTTATGCCTCGTCTGAGGCATCCAAAATTGGGATGGGCCGTTCCAGCCCTCTATGAGCGGAGGGTTGCCTTGAAAGCTCAGGGCGCAGGGTAGTCGCAGCCAGGGAGCCAGGGGTAACTTTTGCACGGGTTTGAAGCAACCCCGAGCATCACAGTGGACAAAATGAGCAAGCCAGAAGTACCCTGAATTGGAGAGTTCAAGGACCCAACTGCTGGGTTGATATTCCTGTGGATGACTTGGTTTCGGACTGGTCCGTGTCTTTGCGTGACGGTGCCCTGAGGTGCTGTTGGCTACACGTCATCTCTAAACAAACAGTGGAAAGGGTCCGTCTCCAAAATGCGGGACCTCGCAAAATGGGCGGCATCTTTTTTCGGGAAAAACACCACACCAAGAAGGGTGCCTCCAAAAACAAAGACACGCCCCACATTGACAAGACAGGCACCCACCACCTTTCTTACGCCTTTGCACGGGTCCCTGGCATCGATGTCTGACTCGCCGTCCGCAGAGAACTCATAGGGCGGCGGTGGGAAAAGCCTCAGAAATAACCATGTTTGATTCTGGTGCATGAGCGAACCTCGAAACATGAAACGACTTCGAAGCTTCGGCCTTCTGGCGTAAGGCCCCGGCAACTCCCCTTCCGTCTCGTCCTCCTGTTCGACTTACACGGGTCTGTCCTAAAATGGGGTGGGGAAGCCCTCCTTTGCTTGTTGAAAAAAAAGAAACAAGAAGAAAAGAAAAGAAAAAAAAAAGAAAAAAAACGGCCACCGGCCCTTTTTGATGAAGCCGCTGGGTGTCCATCCCTTGCGGACAGCCCTCCGGCGGGCCTCCGTCGGGGTACCTTCCACACCATCGTTCTCGTCTGCCGGGTGTCGCGGTACAAGGGTGCTGCTCGTGCTTGGGGCAAGAAAGACAGGACCATGCCCCGAATCGGTTGCTGAAGCCACCCGGGTGTGTCTCAAAAAATCGGCGGACCCACATAATGAGTGGTTTCCTTCCGCCTTCCCTTCAAAGCCACCCAAAAGGGAGACTCTTCCACACACAAAAAAGCGTTCGCCCACTTCAAAGCATCCCTGTCCTTCAACACCGACAGCTTGTGTTGGTTGAACTCCGCCTCCGCGTTCACCACGTCGGCGCTGCGAACTTGGAAAAGCACCGGCAGCGTGCCTGCGCTTTTTCCGGCAACATGTCCGGTGACCAGTGGAACCCTTGGGTGCGTCACGCGAGAAAACAAAAAAAAAGCTCTCTTTTTGTGGTGTTTCTTTCTTGAAAAAAACAGCCCAAAAACGAGTGTTCAAGGGCAAACAAAAGGGACACGGGGAGTTTGGTTTGTTGCTTTCAGAGAAATCGAAGGGACGCTCAAGCTTCTGAACTTGACTTCAAAGGGAAACAAAAGTTGGCGCGAGAAGCAGCGGATTGGTCAACAGGTACTTGGACCGGCGGTTGTTGTCGCTTTCCCTCTCAAGCCACCCACAGCGGGTCCTACTGCAATTGTGGGGAAACGGTGTCGTTGGGCTCCCATCTGCCTGTTGCGCGTGGAACCTGAAGCGGCTTTGTTCACGTCTTGGCTCGTCACCTTTCCATCCCCTCCAAAGCTGATCTCGACCTCTGCTCCATCCGCTGCTTGGACGACTCGGGAATTGGTACAGTGTTTGATGGCCATAGTCAAAGGGGCTCTAGCCTCCAGTGGGTTGCCGGGGGATTGCTGGCGGATAGCAGCCAGACCTTTATCTAACCCCCAGATCATGTATATGGGTTTGTCTCAAAATAGGAGAACCCCAAAATGGGTAGTTTCCTTTTGGTTTCCCCTCAAAACAACCCCAAGACAAGAAGAGTACCTCCATATGTGCCACGGTCAAACGTGGGCCATGGTCATGGCTACCGAAATGGGAACCCTTGCAACTCTTCTCTCTAGAAATCCGAAGAGCATCTGGGCGTTGCCCCAAATTGGAAAGTTCCAACATTGATGGGGTCCCTTTCGCTTCCCTCCAAACTGACCATCCCACTGCTGCCAACCGTATCTCACCAAGGCGCCGATCCGAGCGAAGAGCCGCACCAGGCGGAACTTCACCATGCTCATCCGGCCCTCGGCGCAGCTCTTGGAGGCATCGGATCGGAACCACCTGCGAGGCGGCGGAGTTGCGGCGAGCCTCGCTTGCCATGCTTCCAAAAACTGAGGCTGGAAGATCAGGCGACCATGGGATTGGTGTTTTCCTGTGGCATGACGATCCTCAAAGACCTCTCCGGGCCCGGCCGCGCCTCACCGCAGGCTCCTTGGTCGGCTGCCCCGGGTTTGCCGCCTCCAGCGCCGCGGCCGCCGGGCCCGCCACGACGGCACAGCCCTCGCAGAGACGCGCCAGGCGCTGAAAGCGCTGCGCCAGCGCCGTGCGCTGCGCCGGCGCCAGCTGCACCAGGTCTCCACTCAAAAGCTCTGCGTCACTGGCGGAGGACAAAAGCCTCAGAAGGACAGGAGTGGGGTTGAGGGACCTTTGCCGCTGGCCACAGAAGGGGCACCAGGTAGGGACAAACATGGGAAATGCCAGGCTGCTCCAGCAATCGCGGCCGCTTCGCCGGCGCCCCCGAATCCGAAGCCGAAGCCGAAGCCGCCGCCGGCGCAGACACCGCCGGGGCCGGCGCCGGCGGCCCAGGTGTCGGGGGCGCATCCCGCCGCACGGCGCGGCGGCGCGCGGGGTCCTCCGCGCGGTACTGCGCCATGTTCGCCAGGTCCACTCGCCAGGCGCCCAGCGCCACGGGCTCCTGCGGGCATTGGTCAAACACTGAGCAGAGAGAGAGAGGGGAATGCGAACAAAGCGGAAAGCTTGACAATTCAAACAGGCGGCCAGGTGAGAAGAACTTCCTCAAACTTGCCCGCTTCTCTCGCCAAGATGGAAAGCAACATGGAGCCAGAAGGAGCAAACAGGCATGCCCCTTCAGAAAGAGGAACACAAGTGTGGAAACCCTCTTGGAGGGGGCCACGGTATTTCCCATATCTCCCCAGAAAGGATGTGAGAGGGCCGAACCGTCACCAAGACGCAGTCAATGGCACTTTGTCCAAATGCCCATTAGCACTGCGCTGCAAACTGCACAGAGCGCAAAGCCGCGGAAGTTCGACTTCTGCTTTCTCGGAGGTACAAACCTCTGGTATCAACATGTTTCAACCGGTTGAGCACCGCCAGTCGTCGGCATGCCCCAAAGGTCGGCATGCGCCCAAGAACCAAAGGAACAAGTCCACTCTCAGCGGTCGGGGCGTTGAAGCTCAATCCCAAACTCGGCGCAGAGAGGCGTTGCTCCCACGTGTTGTTTTACCCTGTGACCATTGTGTTACCCTCCCACTCACCGGCAGGCCCTGTCAGGAAATTGAGCAAACCAGGAACCCCGAGGACCAAATGTTAAGCTTAACCCCAATTCGCCCCATTTTCGCGCCCACCCCCTTTTGGCGCAAGCAACCCAAACCGCCAAAACCCGCAAACAGAAAGCACTAGTCGGAAGGTGCGTTGTCACGCGTGTGTTTGAGGTCCGTGTTTTGCGGATGGTTTTGAGACCCAGTGTTCTTCTAGGAAAAGACCCTATCTCGATGTTTGTTGAACTTCGTTTTTGTTTCAAGCTTTTCGATTCGTCTCAAGGTCTTGAGTTCTTTGGAGGTTGCCTGCCCTTCCAACCAAAAAAGGAAACATCCCCCCCAACCAAAAAAAAAAAACGCAAACCCACGAGAGACCACCCCGAACCCCCCCCCCCCGCCCCCGCCAAAAAAAAAAAGGGGGGAAAGCACAAAAAACACCAACCCACCCGAAACACACACACACACACACACACAGCCACACACACACACACACACACACACACACACACACCTTTAAAGGCGCACCCCTTTCACCGCCCGAACCCCCAGGCCCGAGCCGGGCCCCCGCCCCCCGCCTGGTGGCCCTCCTGGAAGCGGCGCCAGCCCGCCTCCAGGAGCTCGCAGTGGTCCCGCGAGTACGGCGCCCAGTCCCGCGCCGTCTTGAAGAACCAGGCCATTCCGCGCATAGAACGTGAAAAAAAAAAGGCGGTTGAGAAGGGCGAAGGGGATTGGATTGGCCTTTTTCGGGATCCAATCCAAAGTGCGGGTACATGATGCGTGTATGTATGTGTACATATATGTATACGTATACATAAAAAGATGTATATACTTATGTATACATATATGTGTATAAATGTGTATGTCTATATATATATATAATATATGTGATGTGCGAGAGTGTTTGTTTATTTATTGTTGTTGCTTTTTATTATTATTATCGTTTATCATGATGTTCGACTTCCCTGCCAGTTTTCCTGAAAAGGTCCAAATGAAACATCTGAATGGAGGATGCGCCCCATCGACAAGCACCTAGTCTAGGCCGATTTGGCCAGGGAATCAGAGCATGGCAAACAAACCAAACCCGAACGATTCATGGGTATGGCCGAAGACTCAATTCAAACGGCTTAGGCGGCACGAAACATGCATGGCGCCTGTGTGACATCATCCCTCAAACGTCAGTGCCGGCAAACCCATATTTGGGCGCATGGATCTGGAGGCCTTCTCTTGCATGGCATAGGCTTTTGGAAACTATCAGCTAACCAGCCATACGGATGGGGCTCGTGAGTGAAGGAATGGAGACCGCTCCGCCTACCTCAGAAGTCCCAGAAGAGCAGATCTCAACAAGTGAGTGTCTGCTGCAACCTGCACAGTCCAAGTAAAGGGACCTTCATAGGTCAATCACTCTCCTTTGCCCCCAAACTCTTGGCTCGCCTCCCCAAGAAGCAAAAAGAAAACCTGGGTGAGCTGGCGCCTTTCACCGCCACCCAAAATCGATCCCGGAAGGAACCCAAACCCCTTAACGCCCTTCCAAGGCTCCATGCCCGGCATCATCCGCGCCCCGCTGGCGCTCGCCGCCACCGCCACCGCCGCCTCCCCAGCGCCCGCGCCGGCGCCCGCACGGGCGCTGCGGGCCGCGCGCCGCTGAAGGGCCGAGGCCTCCAGCGAGGGCGCGAGGCATCCCCAGCGCTGAGCTTTGGGCAAAATGACTCCCGGAAAATATGAGACACAAAAAGAGACATGGAGGAGGAGGGCCATGTACCAACGTGCTCGTCCTAAAAGGATGTCAACGTGAACCCTGGACCATTGGTTGATGACAACACGTCGAATCTGTCCACGCAAGATACCAAACGAAGAAAACACCTTCAGGGGAGTCTCACAGACCTAAGACGCGAAGACATGAGCGGTTGCTTGTATGGAGAGCTTGTGTGAGCGGGGTGGGAACTGTCCCTTCCCACTGAGGTTCATTCTAACGGCGGTGGTTCCCTCGTATCACTTTTTTGAGTAGATGAAGCCCAAGCTCCCATGGATGCACAAGGTCCTGGTCCATCCGTCGGCCTACAATGATGCGGGACTTTGGTGACTAGGGACTTCGGTGAGTCATTCATTCCAAATCACATGCCTCACAAGAAAAACCGTGCACAACCTGATGGCAAGTATCTGCTAAGTCAGGAACCTCCGCAAAATGAGTCTTCGTCGCGGTGAGCTTGACTTTAGCTGCAAGCGAGATCGCCGAACATCTAGGCAAAGTGCAATAGCTCACCGACCTCAAATAAGCAAAACCGTCTTCATGGGTGAGCTTTTGTGTGGCCAAACCTTTGAAACGCCCCCAGAGAAGCTCTTTTTTCGGCGACCAGGTGGCATGGTATTGAAAACTGAAACGCCGCTCATCTCGCATTCCAAGCCGCAGGAAAGCCCGAGCTTCCATGGCGCTGGTCCTGCGCTGGTGCCTCGAGTCAAGGACTCAGCCGATGTGTTTGGCGCTTTGAGCGGCTGGAAACATGGAAACACAGGGCAAAAGGGTGGACGTTCCGGCACGCGCTTTGCATGGCCGGCAAATTGCCGGCCCGGCCAAGTCTCAAGTCTCAAGCCAGGTTTGGTCTTGCCTCATCCTGCCACTTGAAACAACAAACACTCATCCATACGGAAAAAAACAAACCTGCAGGAAGATTCCTTCCCTCACGGCTCCCCGCATATCTCGGCGCCTCAGGCTCCAGATCAAGTCGAACATCGTCGATACGCTCAGCCAAGGCAAGCTGGATCAAAGCGAGCCTAGGTGGCGCTCTCTTGGAAAATCAACTGGGAAGTGCCCGCTTCCTTTCAAGGTGTTAACACATTTGAAGGGCTACTGATGATGATGATGATGATGATGATGATGATGATGATGATGATGATGATGATGATGATGATGATGATGATGATGATGATGATGATGATGATGAATGATGATGATGAATGCGGTGTACTCCCGTGCAGATTGACATGGACCCGATAAATTATCTTTTGAATGACTTCCTTTTCGGCTTCCATGCCAAGTTGCAGGGGAGTAACTGGTGTGGCGCTTCACTGCCGAGGGCAACTTTTTTCATGGAGCAAAGGTGACAGGAGGCCCTCCTTCCAAAAACTGACACAAGGAGTTTGGGCAGACTTATTACAGACCTCTTGCAAAGCCCAGTCTACTTCAAGGATTGGCGAGATGCTTCGGTGGAACATCGACCCGTCGTGGACGATGTATAGATGCACACCAACATCAACCAACCATTTGCCAAGTGCTGTTTTGCAGCGACAAGGTTAGCATGAACAAGGCCCATAGCAGACCATCTTCAAATGATCAGAGTAACCCCCCGATGATCCAACAATATGCACTTCATCAGAGAAGGTGCCCATTCATGGCTGGGATTTCGATTTTGGCTCAGGTCGTCCTTCTGCCATGCTCCTACCCATTCCCATCTCAGAGCCCAATCTGAGCCCACTCTGACTCGTTGCTACGGATTCGCTGAATGATGCGAACGGACCCACCGCAAATCCGATGCGAGCTTCATGCTGGTCCAATGGCTCCCCCGAACCTAACAAATGGTTCTTGATGGTGAACTTTGACAAACGGTTCACTGCACCTCCCCACCTCTTTCACATGGACTAGGAAGCTTCTCAGGTCTTGATCGTCTGAGCCGAGTCCCTGGGCTCACAAGCTCCCGACAGACAGACCCACAGACCGCAATCCCAGGCGCAAAGCCAACGGGAGGCGCATCTCCAGACCATCCGGTCGATCGGAGCCTGTCGCCGGCTCGCGTCCGAAATCGCAAGCGGAGATCAAGGGCCCGAAGGGCCCGACTTCTGAGTGGAGTGAGATGTGCTTCCCGACCCTTTTATTCAAGGGGAAAACGCGGGGCCCGTTGTGCATCAGTCGGATATGTCAGTGCTGCGCCCGTTTCTCTGAGGTTTGCGGGAGACCTTTCACTCGCTGGTGCGATAGGCAGCGGATGAGAAATGGAATGACCCCTACAAACCATCCCGTGTGGTTTCCTTTCAGGGGACCCCTGGCTTCATGCCCAACAACCGGAAGTCATTCCCTGCGTATCAGCAGCCAATGCTAACCTGTTGCATGTTTCAGCCAGTGCCCGTCAAATCGGGTGCGCTTCAAAGAGGGCCAAGGTCTGGCTGCTTTGCAAATAGGCAAAGACCGTTGGTAGGCCTTCTCTTGTACACCCCCCCAAAAGGAAAGGAAAGCATTCGACTCGACATTCGTCGGGTGCCTCAAAGGCCTCCAAATGCTTTTGCATTTATTTATTTTCTTCCGTGAGCTGACGCGCCAAAGCTTTCGCATCCCGGGACCCATGTGATCCTTCGACATGCACCTCTCGCATCCAACATCGCACCATCCAGGCCTCCAGTGGCAAAGGGCCTGCTACGAGAGTCACACCACGGCCGGGGTGGTGCTACGCCGTGACGAGCCAAAAGGCGATGGACACGAGGCACGTCCAAAGATGGGCCAAGAGTCCCCATGGACCTAAGGATCGCCCATGCTGGAACTACAAACTTGCCTTTTCGTGGAAAGAGTCCTTGACTTGTTGAGCCCGAAGAAACCTTTCACTTGCATGTTGAAGGTTACCAACTCGACACTTGAGACTCATATAATGACTCATATATCAATAGTGTAAATCTCTGTTGTTCTGGCACTGCTCCGGCTTGCAGGCCAGCGTGCAACTGACACTCCCAGCCATCTGTCAGAAGTGCACGTATGCATGCGTTGGTTGTGTGGGGGCATGAACGACGTCCCCCTTGCTTGCGTTGTTTCGTTTGAAACAAAAACCTGAAAAGAAACCCAGCATGTAGAGCCCTGCCCCCACCCCGGTCTCACACACGTGGCCGGTCATCTCAACACTGTGACCATGAGTCGTTTGGATGCTCTGAACAGAGGCACAAGTACAGCAACCGGCGCTCCCAGTTGATCAGCCGAAATCAATTAACTCGTTTGGCCCCTTTGCTAAACTCGGGTGCCCAAAGCCTGTAAGACATGTGCCTTTGAGAGGAGAAGCACGGCAAGCAGCCGGCAGTCTACCGCGCCGGCAGGACCATTTGATCCAACCCGTCCCCTCAACGCCGCGCATCCACCAAACGCGCTTTTTTGCGAGGTCAGCGTGCGAGATACTCAAAGGAGGAAACTCACAAACGCCAACTGTCTTGCCCTGTGGCAGTGAAGAAAAAGGCACACAGGAACTTGTTGTTGCCTTCATTTCTTGAAGAGAACCCAAAATGGAAACCAAGAACATGCCGCCGTCTCTACCTCCTGCGCCAAGCAAACGGATCGCCAGTTTGCGGCTTTCGTGGGCTCTCTGGGAGAAAGCGACAGGCTCATGTCTCTGACCCAAATCGAGCATAAACAAACCTGGCAATTCGCAGAAGGAACCGCAGGCACCTACGCGTGCCTGGGGTGCGGAGCCGCTTCCACGCTCGGAACGCTTTGCGGCTTCAAAGGCCCTTTAGACTTCGCATCAAATTGCCCAAATTGGCGGCTTGAGTCAAAAAAACACGAATCATATGGGTGCACCTCCTTACCCCTGTAAAAGCTGATTCGCAAGGAGAAGAAAGGAACCCAGGAATCATGTCATTGTTCGCCAGTCAAAGCTCTTTTAGAATCTGTTTACTCGAGGCCCGTACAAACGCCATGACTGCATCTCACAAGCTTCTAAATTGTTTCCAAGCATGCGGCAAACACCTGCCTTGCCTCTGCCTTGCCAAACCTGCCTTGCCAAACACTCAGCCAGAACAATACAGGTATTGGACATAATGAGCACACTCAACACATTCTTGGACGGCCTTCGATCTACGAAAGCCGACTCCCCAAAGGCACTTCTGACTCTCCCATCCCCAGTGGCCGTCCTTTTCAGACTTTCATGCACCTGAGGGTTCCCAAATGTATTTCAGGATTCCCCCTTGCAGATTTACCAGCAAACATGCAAACAAGCAAACAAAAACTTACGAACCAAACGTCTAGCGCGTGTTGTTCGTTTCCTAGTCTCTTGAACTTCCGCTTCCTTTAGGCCGTGCGGTTCGGCTCAACCAGCATGGCGGCATCACGAAAGTCGTTCACCTCAGCGCAGGCAGAATGCTGCCTGCTCCTATACAACCGCCTGTTCCCAGGGCATGTCCCAACCACCAGAAGTATGTATTATTTCATATACATAAGGCAATATATACACATATGTCTGGTGTCCCCCAAGGTCAACCTTTGATCATGTGCGAAAATCTGTATGCATCAATCCATCTGCCAACATCTAAAATGAATCACATTCCTCTGCCAAATCTAGGTCTACATTGGAGGCTTATTCATAGCATCAATACATCCTAGGATTGAGGAAGCAAATTTGAGGATTCCAAGAGTGTGTTTTCTTGAAATCATCAATCATACATCCTAGCCGGGGGGTGTCATAGTATCAATTACATGCTGGAATTGAATAAGTAAGATTGAAAGTCCAGTGAACATGTCCTTGAATGCTCAATCCGTTCTAGTAGTATTTGGATTAAAGGAGTGACATTGAAGATTCCAGCAACATGTCACATGGAATATGCAATCCCACATTCACGCTGGTACAATGCTGACAAAAACAGGTAGCATGCACCTGTTCCTGATAAATTTGCTGTTCGCAAAATTCCTCTTTTTTCTACCTCAATCCCTGTATCTTGAGCTCTACCGCATAAACATCGTTAGTGCTAAGATATGCAGAGATGTGCTGGCAGCTGCTGGCACGTACTAGCACACGGGCTTACACAAAGATTGAAGAACTTGATAGCATGTGCTGGAACATCTTAGCACTAAGCACATCAGCATTAACGCATAGAAGTGGAATTCAAAAAACAAGTGAATGTTCACAGAGATCATGTTTGTTACTTCTTCAATGCCAGGCTTTATCGATACGATTGATATAGGTTGTAGGATTGAAGATTTCCAGGAAATGCTCACCGGAATCTTCAATCTTGCTTCTTCAATCTCAAGATGCATGAATACTATTCATACCCCCCCTGCGTAGACATAGATTTGTCGATGTGACTGACTTTGGAGGTTGATGGAT